TCTCTCTCTCTCTCTCTCTCTCTCTCTCTCTCTCTCTCTCTCTCTCTCTCTCTCTCTCTCTCTCTCTCTCTCTCTCTCTCTCTCTGCTCCTGTGTTTTGCTGCACCTTCCAATCTTGGACTTTGGATCAGTACTGCCTCTTCTGCCAGCCGCAGTTGACACTCAACTTTTTTCCGGTCATTACCAGACTTTCTCAGCATGGAGCTTTTATTTTTGGACAAACAGTCGGTGCGCCTAGGACTGACTTCTATGGATGGAGCTCTGGTACCCGACAGTGGCTACCGAACTACTGGGCCTACTGGTTCGACTATGAAACATGGGACTGGCGGACTTTTTGGGATTTGGCCTATAACTTCTGTAAAGGCTCCCATGAACCCGCGGGCAAGCTAAGACCCATGTGTGTGAACGGGCTAGGCAGCAGTGGGGATCACATGCTGATTGGAGCGAAGTGTGCGAGAATTGCTGTGCTTGTGTGGTGCGTCCGTGTGGTGTTGTGTGTGGTGTGTGTCGAGCTGGACACTACAGCCTTGCAGGGGTGGGGTGGATATCACGACCGCTATGGGTATGGTCCCACTTCTGAACACCGTGTCCCTGGCTGTAGTGGTTAAGAGACTTGGCTCTTGAGGTGGAGGTCGCCGGTTCGAATCCGTGCTTGCACGGAGGAGGGCCTTGGGCCCAGATGTACACATGTATAACAACTATGAATTAGACGTCGAAATCGGAACTTCGGTGATGCTTCTTCCTTGTTTGGTCGACATGGGAGCAGCAGTAACTTCATTGGTTTACAGTTGGCAATAGTGGAGTAGGATGGGGATAGTAGCATGGCTGCGATCCGCACTTCGATCCAGAAGTCCGGATCGCAGTGTGGACGGTCTGAGTGCTGATGTCCGGGTCCGGTGTCCGGTCCAGAGCATCCGGATCTGGCCTCCCACCCTGGAAAAAAAAAATCGAAGTGAAGAGCTTACAATTGCTGATTCAGAGATTCTTCATGTAGCCCTTCCCGTCAACACCTGGCTAACAGTGCGAAGAAATAAGGAGCACAGGAACCTTTTTTTTTTTTTTTTTTTTTTTTAAATCAACCCATTG